CCTGTAGTCTGCCATGGCACTGCTGCCTGTACATTGCCACAGCCTCTGTGCCTGTAGGCTGCCACGGCCCCGCTGCCTGTACATTGCCACAGACTCCCTTCCTCCGGTCTGCCATGGGCCCACTGCCTGTACATTGCCACAGCCTCAGTGCCTGTAGTCTACCACTATTCCACTGCCTATACATTGCCACACCCTCTCTCTCTGTATTCTGCTACGGCCCCCGCTGCCTGTACATTGCCACAGCCTCTCTGCCTGTAATCTACCACTGTTTCGCTGTACTCTGCCTGTAACAGTCTACTTAGCGGTTACCTCTGTCAGGTGAACACTGTGCCCAAACCCCGCCTCCCGCCGCCGCACTTGCGCACTGAGCTGGCAGCTGGTCCGGCCCGGGTCAGGGCTCGGTAAGATGGCGGTCCGGCGCTGGGTCGGGTACAGCGCTTGAGTGCTCTTTGGGCCGCAGTGACCGTCTTCTCCCGGCGGTATGAAGACTTTCTGCGGAAGGGCGAACCCCACGACTGGCGCCATCGAGTGGGAGGAGGAGGCCGAGGATTATGACTATCACCAGGAGATCGCGCGGTACGGAGCCGCCTCCGGTTTGACACGAGGCTGCCATGGAGACCGGGCCCCGGGCCCCTGGCCCCTGGGCTCTGCCACCACGGCCCCGGCCCCGGCCCCCCCCCCCTCCCCGTCCCCCCCCCCCCTCCCTCCGTCCCCTCCATCCCCCCCCCACTTCTGGAGGAGAAGTTTTTGCTTTCAGTTTAGTTTATGTCTGCCTTGTCTGTAGCGTCCGTGATGGATCATTGTCACGACCTGTAGGTACCCCGCCTGTAACAGGACCCGTGTGTGTGACAGCAGTGTCAGTCAGTGTATGGATAAGGACAATGTGCAGCAGCTATCCACTCAGCAGTGTACAGTTAATGCCCTGGTGTCCCTTTCACGTACAGCAAACATGACTGACCTTGTGGTAAAATGCCTGTGACCTTGTCCTGCCTGCTCCACCGATACTCTATTCTGAAATGATTCCAAATTACCGTGGGTGCAATTGAATTTACTTCGTTTTCACAACATGTAATGTTGCTAGATATAGTTCTATTGCTTCAAAATGTAGTTTGCATCACCTTTACATTTCTACATTACATGTGATGCTTGGGGGGGAAAGAAGTACGAGACAACAAGGTGCAGGGCTGGATAAACACAGCAGGCCAAGCAGCATCATAGGAGCAGAGAGGCTGACGTTTCGGGCCTAGACCCTTCATCAGAAAAGGGGGAGGGGAAGGGGGTTTTGAAATAAATAGGGAGAGAGGGGGAGGCGGATAGAAGAGGGATAGAGGAGAGGATAGGTGGAGAGGAAACAAACAGGTCGAAGAGGCGGGGATGGAGCCAGTAAAGGTGAGTGTAGGTAGGGAGTTAGGAAGGGGATAGGTCAGTCCAGGGAGGACGGACAGGTCAAGGGGGCGGGATGAGGTTGGTCGGTAGGAGATGGAGGTGCGGCTTGAGGTGGGAGGAGGGGATAGGTGGGAGGAAGAACAGGTTAGGGAGGCAGGGACGAGTTGGACTGGTTTTGGGATGCGGTGGGGGGAGGGGAGATTTTGAAACTTGTGAAATCCACATTGATACCATTGGGCTGCAGGGTTCCCAAGCGGAATATGAGTTGCTGTTCCTGCAACCTTCGGGTGGCATCGTTGTGGCACTGCAGGAGGCCCAGGATGGACATGTCGTCTGAGGAATGGGAGGGGGAGTTGAAATGGTTCGCGACTGGGAGGTGCAGTTGTTTGTTGCGAACCGAGCGTAGGTGTTCTGCAAAGCGGTCCCCGAGTCTCCGCTTGGTTTCCCCGATGTAGAGGAAGCCACACCGGGTACAGCGGATGCAGTATACCACATTGGCAGATGTGCAGGTGAACATCTGCTTGATGTGGAAAGTCTTCTTGGGGCCTGGGATGGGGGTGAGGGAGGAGGTATGGGGGCAGGTGTAGCACTTCCTGCGGTTGCAGGGAAAAGTGCCGGGTGTGGTGGAGCTGGAGGGGAGTGTGGAGCGGACAAGGGAGTCACGGAGAGAGTTGTCCCTCCGGAAAGCAGATAAAGGTGGGGAGGGAAAGATGTCTTTGGTGGTGGGGTCGGATTGCAGATGGCGGAAGTGTCGGAGGATGATGCGTTGGATCCGGAGGTTGGTGGGGTGGTACGTGAGGACGAGGGGGATTCTTTTTTGGTTTTTATTGCGTGGACGGGGTGTGAGGGATGAGGTGCGGGAGATGTGGGAGACACGGTTGAGGGCGTTCTCGACCACCGAGGAGGGGAAGTTACGGTCCTTGAAAAACGAGGACAACTGAGATGTACGGGAGTGGAATGCCTCATCCTGGGAGCAGATGCGGCGGAGGCGAAGGAATTGGGAATAGGGGATAGCATTTTTGCAGGAAGGTGGGTGGGAGGAGGAGTATTCTAGGTAGCTGTGGGAGTCGGTGGGCTTGAAATGAATATCGGTTTCTAGGTGGTTGCCCGATATGGAGACAGAGAGGTCCAGGAAGGGGAGAGAGGTGTTAGAGATGAGATGGTCCAGGTAAACTTAAGGTTGGGGTGGAAGGTGTTAGTGAAGTGTACAGTCGATACAGTCATCAATGTAACGGAGGAAAGAAGTACTTTTGGTTCTATAGTTTCAATCCTGGCACATGCTGGTGTGTAGCTGAATGGAGTTTTTGAAAATGAGTGACATAGGATAAACCAGCCTGTTCTTTCTCTCCCTGTGAGGAAACCGTTGCTTCTTTGGGTTGACTAGAATTAGGAAGTTAGTTTTTTTTTGTTGCTTTTGGAGTGTATTAATTTGCTACTTTGTTTTACTTACTAAATTTTGAATGCTAATTTTGGTCACAGTACTTCTGGAGCTTGAATCTAATGATCTATAGTAAATCAGAGAGTATGAGGCAAAGGTGAGAGGAGCCTGTAGTGCATACAGGAATGGGAAACTGAGTTCCTCAGTAATGCACAAGGAAATGAACGTTATTTACAGTATAAATCAGAAATAACTTCAAATTCTGCATTTTATCCCATAGTATTTCAACAGTACCTATGCTTAATATGGGGCAAACCACTTGATGTTTGAACGTCAGCCGAAGCTTTCTTGTGAGATCATATCTTTATCTTGTTACTGGACATCCAGTATTCTAAGTATAAACCATGTGATTGAGTAAATTAACTTAGAACCTATGGATTCCCAGACATCTATTAATCTGCATATCACCTGAACTTTTCAATTAGATTACAACTGGCAAGTTATTCTAAACTAGTTTAATCAGTTGAACGTTATACTTTTCAGAGGTAATTGACCCATTTTTCTTTATCTTTCAATCAGGTCATCTTATGCAGATATGTTGCATGATAAAGACAGGGTAAGCAATTGACATAAAATGAAATAAATGTTAAATAAAAAACGAAAGGACTGCGGATGCTGTAAATCAGGAAACAAAACAGGAATTGCTGGAAAAGCTCAGCAGGTCTGGCAGCATCTGTGAAGGAAAAAACAGAGTTAACGTTTCAGGTCCAGTGAGAGTCCCAGACTCTGTTTTTTCCTTCACAGATGCTGCCAGACCTGCTGAGCTTTTCCAGCAATTCCTGTTTTGTTTCATGAAATAAATGTTTATTGGTTTTACATGTGTGTTTGTTTAACGGATAGAGGATGTATCAGTGTTGTGGACTGATTTGGACTTAAGCAAAGTATTGGACTGTAATTATCAACAAGATCCTTAGTCCATCCAGCATTGTACTGGCAAAAGACAGTGAATGTAGCACAGATCAGGAATTGAGTTTAAATTTTAAACTTTGAACAAGTTCTGTGCTGTTTGCAGCAGCTTTAGCTGTGATGGTTGTCCGAACTACACAAAGTGAACAGTGCTGGAGAAACAAAAACAAAGTTGCTGGAAAAGCTCAGCAGGTCTGGCAGCATCTGTGAAGGAAAAAACAGAGTTAACATTTCGGGTCTGGTGACCCTTCCTCAGAACTTCTTCTGTACTGGAGATCTCTATTCATCAGCTTGCACCCACGTTTAAAAGTGAATGCTTTCTCATGCATAATTCGCTCTGCGTCTCTGAGTGGCATCTTTCACAGTCATGTTACTGGAGACTTGACTTGCCATCTGCTCCCTGTGAGTACCTGAGAGATACAGTTTTGTGAAATCAGGAACGTTTTTGATAAGAATGAAATGCGTGTTATCATTTGAGATGATTGGCGAATCATTGTGTCTGAACTACTCTAGTGCTCCTGTTGCTTGTAACTACTGTCAGGAGGTCTGTTGTCATGGCACAACATCTTGTACTTCCTGCAGTCATCCACTGTAGCTCATCTGCAACCACACTGTGATATCCTTCATCTAGCTACACCTAGATCATTGCACTTTGTCCTCTAGAAGAGAGATCTCAAGCTTTTCAGCTCCGATTAAATGGCTGAGATATTGACATGTACTTTTCTGAATGTCATTTTGAGTTCTTTAAGCTCCTTCAATTTCAAGTACCTCCTCATGTCTTGTGTTGTGTGTCTGAAACATTTAACATACCATTAGACCATAAGGTATAGAAGCAGAATTAGGCCAGTTGCCCATCTAGTCTGCTCTGCCATTTGATCATGGCTGATATGTTTCTCAAATTCATTCTCTTCCCTTCTCCCTGTAACCTCTGATCCCCTTACTAATAAGGACCTATTTATCTCTCTCGAATACACTCAGCAATTTGGCCATCACAGCCTTCTGTGGCGGTGAGTTCCACAGATTCACCACCCTCTACCTCGCCCTCTTTTCATCTACATTTTGAAGGCCTTTTTTTTTTTTGCACAGATCTTTTAGTTATTGTCCAGTTTCTGATGCATTCAGTAAAATGAATAGGATGTAGATTGTTATGAGCTCTTGTTGCAAACTTCAGTTGTCTTGTCAATAGCAACAGGTAATAACCCTGTGAAATTAATCTTGCAGAATGAAAAGTACGACAGTGGAATCCGGGCAGCGGTCTGCAGGGTGAAACAGCGTGGCCAGAGGGCAGTTGTCCTGGACATTGGAACTGGTACAGGCCTGTTGTCTATGATGGCAGTAAGAGCTGGTGCTGATTATTGTTATGCAGTCGAGGTGAGATTTCACAGGGGTTCAGGGATGTATTACACTTCATATTTTTATTTTGTATTGTTGTATTTCAGTTTATAAGCTTCCAGTAAAATGATTTCCAAGTCTTGTTGACCCTACAAACCAAGTCAAATGGTTTTGGAGACCAGATGCTGCAATAACAATTTAATTGCTTTATTGAACAGTGCTACAAAGTACAAAAGGAGTTACTGAATCCAGAAAAGCTGTTATCAGAACTAACTAAATGTGGAAATGGTCTGTTAGTTGCACATGGTGAATGTGACATTTTTATGGATTGATTCTGAACTCTTCCTCTATCTCAAACACCTGATAATTTGTTGTAATTAATTCATAGGGAAATCATGATTCATGCTGCCTGACTGTAATGCCCTTGAGAAGTTGGAAGTGGGCCAATGCCTTGAATCATTGCAGTCCACATGATGCAGATAAGACCATAGGAAATAGAAACAGGAGTAGGCTTTCAGCCCCTTGAACCTGCTCTGCCACTTGGTTGGATCATGGCTGATCCAACATTCCTCACTTTTTAACTTTCCTGCCCTTTCCCCATAACTCTTGATTCTCATATCGATCAAGAATCTATCTATCTCAGCCATAAATATACATAAGAACTCTACTCCCAACGCTCTTTAGACAAATAAAAAGGTATATCTTTACAAATGAGGCAGCTGAAAATGATTGGACCCAGGACTCTACACTGGGGAACTCTTCCATTAATGTCACAGAACTAAGATGATTGCAGCATTCAGAATCGTATTCCTTTTATGCTATTGATGATTCCAACTTGTGGAGATTTTGCTATCAATTCCCACCGATGTCACTTCTAGCAGGGTTCCTTAATGCTTTACTAGGTCAAATACAGCCTTGATGTCAGAGTGCAAGGGACCACATATTTTCAAATATCAGGGATTTTTGAGTTACAGAAAAACTTCCCGATGACCGCCCTTGGATTGGTTTAGCTGCAGTTTGTTACAAACCTATGAGTGCAGTGCACCTTATATGCTCGGAGCTGTCAAACAGAAAACATCTCTCTTTCTCAAATCGTAAAGACTGAAATGAAAAAAATTTAATACAAAACTATACTTCAGCCTACATGATCAGTTGTTAAATTGAAGAGCGACTAATACTCGCCATATAATCTCTGGTTATCATTACTAAAATCAAATGAACTCTGAGAAATAACTATTTGCCTTGTGGTCTGGACTTCTGATCTGCAGGAATTGTTTCTTTGTCTATATTTTTCCACCTATAACATTTGTGACAAACTATCTTTTCTTTGTGGTCATAAAAAAGTATAGATTAAGTCGTGTAGCAGTGGTTTTATTTCTCTTCCATTATTAAACAATAAGTTTGTTTAAAGCTTATAGATATGTTTTTCTGTTAATGATGAAACTTGGTGTGAATGAATTTTGTCCTGAAATTAATCATCTTGGTGGTTGAATTAGATGTTTACACATTTGCGATAGTTTGGGGAACATTGGGGCTGGATTTATTGGCGCATTCATCCAGATAGAATTGTAATTTCACCTCCCTTAAGTTCAGCTGTTTGTTCAAAACTATCGAAACAACTTGGCGAGAAGAGACATTGTGGCCTGTGTATGATCACCTTCTTGTTATTCCTGCAGGTTTTTAAACCAATGGCCGATGTTGCACAGAAGATCGTGGATAAAAATGGATTCAGCAACAAAATTAAAGTCATCAATAAACACTCAAACAGTGTGACAGTGGGACCAAGTAAGTGACCGGAAGTGGATAGACTGGTTGGAGGCTGTTGGCAGGGAACACTGAAGCTGCTATGTGAATGTCAAGTTATAGCACCCCATTGAAACAACTGCATAAATTGCTTTGTTAGTGCTCCATTTTGCTGTTTGAGTGGGATGATATGCAACGAGCGCAGTGGCAGTTGATGCAGTTGCTGTTAAGCAGAATGTTAAATTTGGTGGCAGTTGATGTCTAAGAACATATAACAAAGGTCACTTGTCATATGCAGTAACAATAATTGTGGGTAGAAGCTCACCACATGAGAAATGACTTTTTAAGACCTGACACGATCCCATCCAGGCTCTAGATGGCAGTTACTGAATACAGTAAGCAAAAAAAAATTCTTAGCGGTGTTTCTGCACTGGGATTTTGTAAAGTAGAGGAAAACTGACAATTGTGTTTTTGGTGGCGTCTTATGCATTTTGTTTCTAGAGGCCATGATTGAAAATTCACCCAAGTTGTTCAGTACTGAAGTGGAGAATCTGATGTAAATGGTACTAATTTACGAAAGAATGAGTTTAGCTTAATCTTTTCAGATCACTTCTTAACAATTCAATGAGCTGTAACTAAATACTGAGATCCCAGTGTGGAATGAAGTCCCCATTACTAGGCATTGAGAAGCAATCAGATCATCAGTTAATACTGCCAAGAACGAAGTGGGATTCTGAATGGTCTGGAACTGAAGAAATGTTGTATGTGGTGTAAAAGCCGCTACGCAATGTGTTTGCTTCGGCTTATCTGTCCAATGTCAAAACAGACCTGTTTCCGCAGAAGTGTCGGATACTACACCTCAGCAGCTACAGGAAATGGTTGAGCTTGTGGGCCCACAGGCCATCAATTTGGTTGGGGGGGCGGGGGTGGGAGTAAAGATTGCCATTCCTCCGGCCTGGGTATTCTGCTGCGAGGAAGCAATTTCACCATGTATAGAAATGCTCCCCTGAGGCTAATGAATGTACACGGTAAAGAGTGAGGAGCTGGCACTCCTTCAGCAGCTCCCACTGCTGCTGGCAACATCTTGGCCAGTCATTCTTGCCGATGATGTCAACTACGTCATTGTGGCTGGCTGATTCGGAGAGGCTGACAGCAAACTGAACGCCGCATCAGGATTCCTGATGGAAACGGTTAAAGATGCCAAGCCACACAATGTCTTTACCACCCCTACAGACGGAGTACAGCCTGGATGCACCTCACGGCCAGATAGGTCTAACTGCTCAAGGATAGATTTCCTGTTTGTGTCCCAGTCAGATCCACCAACATCAAGCTAGTGTTCAGCTCTGACCACTGCCTACTGCTGGCCAACTGCCACCCTTAGGGCAGCCAGTGGGTCGGCAAGGAAATGTGCAAGCTGAACCTGAGTTTGTTGACTCTGGAACTCAAAAGGAATTGCAAGGTTGGAGAACCGCGAAACCCCTCTTTGAGTCTGGAGTGGACTGATGGGAAATGGTCACGGCAAACACAAGAGATTCTTCATTTTCGAGGGTGCTCAGAAGGTGAGAGAGAGATTGGAAAATCTTCCCAGACTCAAGAAAAGTGTGCAGAACCTAGTCCTTGCTGCAAACAATGAGGGTCAATGTCAAGGAGAATCTGTAGGAGGTGAAGAGCCAGTAAGCTTTGCTCTTTGCCTCAAAGGCCTCCAAGATAATCTTCCAGTCCAGAGTCATTCCCTGGAGCAGGATGAGACATCCTTGCATTTCTTCTTCCAGAAAATGCACAGGTAAAGCTTCGTGATCAGCAGCTTGAAGGAAGAAGATGGCTCGGTAATGTCATCTCAGTCCGACACCCTGGGGACCAGCAAATCCTTTTATGCCAGACTGTATGACGTGAAGCCTACAGACAGCAAGGCTTCCCAGTCATTCCTGATTTCTATTATGAAGATCTGAGATGAGAGCATGCTGGGGAGGCTGGGCCAGCCATTATCTCTAGACGAGATGACGAAGGCTCTTGAGTCTTTTGAGAAGAGTAAAAGTCCCATGAAAGATGGCTTACCAGCTGAGTTGTGTTTGGCTCTGAGGGACTTGATTGGCCAGGACCTGCTGGAGGCATATGACAGTATGCCCCTGGCAGGTAATGTGTGAATCCATGAGGAAGGGTATCATTACCCTCCTCTACAAGCAGAAGGTGGAGGTGGCAATAGTTAGAAATTAGTGGTCAATTTCATTGTTGAATGTTGATTACAAAATCCTGTCTAAGGTCATCGCTAACTGGGTCGGGTCTGCTCTGATTCATTTGACCAAACCTGTGCTGTATAGGCAGGAAGATTTCCGAGAGTCTCGCACTCCTTGGAGATATGATTGCCTATGTGCAGAGTGGGGTGTGGACACCTGCTTCGTCAGCCTTGACCAGGAGAAGCCTTTGACAGGATATGCACATCTCCATAAACTGTAGTCAGGCAAGCCTGCCCGTGCTCTCTTGCCTTGTTTTATGGCATTTAGAACCTTTTGTGGAGTCCATCAGGAAGGATGCAAGCCTGTGAGGTGTGACTGTTTCAGACAGTGAAGGTCTGCAGGTTAGAACGTCCCTGTTCATGGATGATGTTTTTTCTGATTGGATTCACTGTCAGTGCGCAGACTCATGAGCATCTGTGATCAATTTGAACTGGTCTTAGGAGACAAGGTAAACTGAAGCAAAAGCAAGGCCATGTTCTTTGGGATGTGGGCTGACCAATCCTTTATCCACTTCATCCTTGGGTCAGGTTATCTGAAGGTTCTGGGAATATAGTTCAGAGGGATCACAGCATGCACATAAAACTTTGGAGGAGGGTGTTGCCAAGATAAGTCAGAAGCCAGCAGATAGAAGCACCGT